AATCAAATCTGATGTTCTTATAAGTTTTCTTTGGTATGCGGAAGAGGGGGTAGGTAGTCTTATACGACGAGTATATACCAAAATCTATATTTTAACTGGAAAAGTCAGGGAGTCGTCTTATACGCCGAAAAATACGGTATATTAAAATTGTGAACTAACATTTACGAAGCTATTATATCTAAGATCCACTTTCAATTTATATACTTTCAAGTTGGGGCGATTAAATATAAAGTGATTACAATATTTCAAGTAAAAGTAATGGTTTATACTTAAATATCTGAACAATATGAAAATAATAAACACAATATCTGTATTACTCAAAAGCATTACTTCAGCAAGTGTGTATGCTAGGTTGCGATAGGGTCATTCAACAGATGGCATTTCTTATACAGTAGACGGTTTGCATCACAAAAATGAGATGCTTGAGAAAAATCACCAATGCAAGACATAGTGTTGAAATAAACCGTTGTCGAATTTGGGTGAGTTTAAAATATCTGAAAACATAGATTTTAATGTTATTTTTGTCTCTTGTCCTGATCCTACTTTTCTATTTCTTTTATCCCCTTCATATCCACCACTGCCTCAGAGGCCATATAACCTTTCTTCCTCCTTCATCAGACATCATGCCTTGTTTTTATTATCAGGAATTTAGTTAGTGTTTTCTATTAATTCATCACTAGGTCCATCATCCTCTTTCCACTAAAGCAAAATAGATTTGCCATATTGTGGCGAATTACATTTTGTATGAATATGCTCGTCAATCTCATAAAAAAAGGACGGAAAATTTTCGCTACTCAGCGGTCGGTTGCTTTACAGATGATGTTCGGATTGTCTGAGTCAAGGAGACATAATTTTTTCAGGTGAAAATAGGCTGAGCTTACGTTCGCCCAATTAAAAACTGATTAGGGCTGGAACTTATTTTTTTAACTCTTCATATTTTTAATATTTGAAGTACACTAGCCACCTTTAACTCATATAACGTATATAGTCATAATTAAAACTAAAATATATATACACATATAGATATATAACGGTTTGGTTAAATAATTTAAATATTATTCAAAGTACTTATACCTAAGTGTGTGTATATGTGCTTGTTGGCGTCTGTACGAGTGTAAGTTCGTATACGAAATTCCAATGAAAGTCCTGAGTCATCATGATAGTTAATCCTAAAAGATCTTGCATTTTAAGTTCGGTTTTTATATACTTATGTCACAATAATTTGGCTGTTATGAAAACCGAAATTGGAGGAATATTACTTTATTAAAATTTTACGGTAATTTCTGCCAACTGAAGCAAGGATTTTCTATAGATTCTTGCCTTCCTATTTTGGTTATTAACTACATGGAAACGTCTGACAAAGATTTAGTACTATACCCAAACTGTCATTAGATATGTGGATGACTAGCTTCTCACTTCTTGGAGTTATTATTGAATAAAACAAATGCATGCTTTATTTAAAATAATAGTTGTTTAATAAAGAATAAATTTTTTGATGGAAACTATCCATATGAGTATAGGCCTTTCTGTCATGCTTTATTTTTTTTTAAATTGGCGATCTGGTGAGAAATTGATGATTAATAATAGTTTTCGGAAAAACCCTGACACCTTTATTTATGTTACTTACTAGGATTATCGACCTATTCTTCAAAAGTAAGTTAACCACATAAATGCTTGCAAAGACAACTGAATCTAACCGACATAAGTGGCTGAATACAGGATAGCAATTAAACAGGGTATATAGTAGTCTAAAACCTATCCGTTCCTTGATTGTGCTGCGTCTGTTACTAGACGCACAGTTATAAATGCTAACGGAATAAATGGAATGGGAGATGCACTTAATTCAAGGAACGGATGTGGAAAGTTGAATACTAACTACGTATACTTGATTGATGGACAAGGAGGAACGAGGCAATATAGCCGACGAGCAAAAGCAGGCGATTTACAGGTCGGATTATTGATGGTTTTAACGAAACTAGAGCCAGCTCAACACTTTTGGTAAGCCTATAAGCCCAAACAGACGTTCGAGGTTACCTAAGCATCAAATAGATAAACGAGTTAATACTATGAATTTCATACTCATAGTTATAGCACTTATTATATCAGTCAGGTGTATGTTCGTGCTTACAGAATTCCTCTCATGCTTCTTCTTTGTTCATTAAGCTCGGGGAACTCGGTACTGACGTTAAACTCTGGTTTAATTACTCTGAGTTATGGCGATAATTAAGAACTCTGACTTACACATACACATATGCGTAAGTAAAAGTGAATATAAAAAAGAATAAACAAAATCATTATATATCTAGTTATATCTATATATTTTTGTTTAATTTTGAGTATATGTATCCTCTAAAGTAGCAAACCTGACATAATGCTAACATAAAGATTTGCAGGAATTAGTTCTAGCTCTGACGAAGTCTGTCATATGATGGACAAATTCATAGCCTGTTTTCACTGTAAACAAGGAAGAATGCCTCGTTAACTGTGACAATCGGAACTTCGTAGTAAAATCAAGCAACTGCAGAACGAAAATTAGTCGTTGTCTTCTCATGAGATCAGCCTGTACATTTCTTTATCGGGCACATTCATAAAAAGTATAAGTCACTATTGCAATGATGCCTAAAGTGATTAAGGGATCCCAAAATATTCCTTTGACAAAATCGACAAAGTCATTTACAAACTATATTACAGAATCTTTAAATCTTTCAGAGTTGCATATATGCAATATTATATGAGCAATCTTAGTCGTAGAAATATGCCAACTAAAAATATAGTTTCGCAAATTAATCTTATTTCCCCTAGATAAAATTATAAATGAAAATATTAGCTAATAGAATAATAGCCCATGGCTCAATATAAATTTCATTTAAGAATACATCATAACCTAAAGAGATTATTTCTAATCGTACTATATAAAACAATATAAATTAAGAGAAACTATTTTTGTGGTATTTCGTAGATAAGCATTATGTGGATTAAATGGATAACCTATGGAATTTAAAAACTATAAGTCATCGATTCGTAAAGGATGCATACTTTAAAAACCTAGTTCCTGATTATATAAGCCTCATATTTGAATCTTTGTGTACAAAACTGCCGAGTAATTAATAAACAAATGAGAAAAAACACATTTGTATCATAGTTGATTTAGTAATGCATCGAGGGCATCTTTTTCATAATTAAATCATAGTTTCTATTAATGTTTGCCTCGAGTATAGAGCGACATCGAGTTGTTTTGGGTCCGGACGGAGGAACAAATATTTTGTTAATGCCCATTGAGACTATTTTCTTGTTGTCCTTCAATTGGCCAGACATATACGCTGGGAATTTATTTATAGTCCCAAATTTACCGCCGCCAGCTTTTTTGGCGGGATTGGAAGGTATGAATGGGAGTATACGTTCAGATGAAGCTTTCAATAATGGAAGAAAATTTGGCACGACCTTGTCGCATTTATAGGGATTAGGGCCGAATTCATCAATATCGCCGCCAACTATAAAAGCCTTCTTGCCATTCAACATTTTTTCGTGAACCATAGCAATTTGTTTTTGCATTTCATTGCTTTCATATACATCAGGTAAGTGTTTGTATGGTTTATTGATAGTAATATCAACATAGCCATAACCGGAACCTTTCTTAGGAGGGCTTGTATATAAATTTTTAAGAAGCTTAAGAAGCTCGAATTTTTTTAGTTGAGGTGAAAGATACGGGAAACCTGTTTGAAATGTGCCGTATAACGATCCAGAACCTACTGCTTTTTTGGGAAATCCCACAGGACGAAATATCGTGGTATACTTAGATTGCTGTTTTTCCAACCTCTTGAGCCTCAAAACTTGTGTGATATCATTCAGAGCTTCACCCTCAAAAATCCTTCGAAAATCAGCAAAGTAGCCTTGATTTAGAGCAGATTTCTTTTTTGAGCCTCCAGGATTTATTTGCCTGCCCTTTCCAGCTGACTCATTAAAGCAGTTTACATATTGTGCCTTATAAGCATCACCTATTGAAATATAAGGCACTTCAGAAAATAAACCAGTCCTATCGAGGTCGCTCCTGGCCACAGATAACATCTTGTGTATCCAAAAATGTGCCAAGCTAGTTTGGCCCTGAATGCTAGAAGATAGAAACAACAAATATGAATAAATATTAATTGCATGATTTAATATAACTTCCTTAAATATGTATTAAACAAACACACAAACATTTAAATTAAATGCAAAAATTTAAAATAGTTTTACTGATTAGTTAATATGGCACTTTATTTTCAATGAATGTCTTACTAACAATATTACCTCATTAAATTAATCTGAACCCAGTTACTCTTGGTATATAAAATATTATTATATTTAAATATAGCTTAATATTTGGGGGAAAATATCTCTAATACTTGTACTTAATAGCTAGTTCTGCATTATCTATGTATAAACTAATGACATTCTTGATCGAAATCTTATGCTTCCCCCCTATGTTAACTTAATTTTGAAGGTTACATTAACTGCTGTTTGACTTTTGAGGACATGTTTTTAGATATAATAATTTTCCTTTTATTGAACTAAATAAATAAGAGCTTTAGCCACCTTGTGGAACGGTGGTAACGTATTTTTTTACTATTATATCGTTATTTCTTTAGAAGATTTTTTGTTATCCGATAATTTTTGCGAATATGAAAGAGAAAATCATACTGTCTAGCATTGTTTGCTTGACGCTGTTGCTGAAATTAAGATGCACCATCAGAATATTCTCCCCTTTATTACGAATTTATTTTCGAATAAGCTTAGCTTATTTTCTGTGAAATGATTTATTATCTTTTGTTACATTTTATTTTTTAAGAAATAGAAAAAGAATTTTGTAATTTAACAACTAAACTTCTTAGCTCTATATAAACTTAATCTCAAATTAATTTTTAATTTCAGTTCTCCTAGCCACTTGCATACAACTTTTAGCTAATGGATTAGTACGTTTAAGCTTAATAATGTTCGATAAATATTTACTGGGAATAGGCATTTAATATATTTTGCCTGTAACCGTAGCTTTAAGTATTCGTCTTTTTTCGACGTTGTACGCACCTTCATTTTGATTTAAGGCATCGTTGAGTAATTTCGATATCATATTACCTAAAAACTTTACCACTCTGAGGTATGTACGCTTCATGATTGAATTCAATTAAACTTACATTTGTCAACCAAAAAGTATTATCATATTAGTTGGACATTTTTTCTACTTTTCATAGGTTTCGCTAACACTTTAAATAACAATCAAACCTGGATAGTGCAGTAGTTATCTTTCATGTGTTACCACTACGCCACACTGCAGTAAATGCCAATATATCACAGGATAGACATAAATTTAAAGCTAGTTAGACAACTTAGTTATTCTATTTTTTTCAGAATTTACAATAATATCATATTGTATTTTTTATTACTTATATTGATATTTGATCCACTACCAGAGCTTGAATAAGTGTTCTAGTAAGCCAAGCTCACATTACAGGATGAAGAATGGAAAATTATTTTTTTCCGTAATTATATGGCAAGCAATTACTATTATAGTTAGGTTCACTTAGTTTAGCCTTCTATAATATATATTTAAAATATAATGAACTGCAATAATAAGCAGACAACTAACCTAGGTATTTAGCGGTTTTTTTGTCATGTAACTGGGTTCAGATTAATTTAATGAGCTAATATTGTTAGTAAGACATTCATTGAAAATAAAGTGCCAACTATATAAAGTGTCAACTATGATTTAGGAACCATATTGCATATAGACACTGACACGCACAAATACACATAATCATACAATTGAGCAAAAATAACAGGACCTGGTATGAAAGAAAATTAACCAAACCACTATATCTATCTATCTAGGTTTTTAATTTTCATTTGGCTTAATTAAGTCTATATAAGAAGTGAGATAGAGCCGGATAGTGTTCTTTGCCTAGTGTTAGCGTGAGACTCTTACAAGAATCACACCCAGTTTTGATGATGTCCATCATATTATGGACGAAAGCTCAGCACGTCGGTAGCCTTCTGCTAGACAATTCAAGTGATAGAATTAAATGTGTGTCTGCACCTTTAACTGAGAAATTGGTGGTCATTTATTTGATAATTCATCTGAAAGCGCGAAAAGGAGTCAAATTTACAACATACTAGAGCAGTATAAGAAAGTTTGGTTTAATCAAAGAGCCTAAAATTAGTTGTAATTTGATTGTCCTCTTGTCAGACTCGCCTTCTTATAATACGTTCATCATAAACACAAAAGAGTCCAGTCTAGTATTCCTCTCTATCAATCTATCTAGGTTATTAATTTTTATTTGGCTCAATTGAGTCTATATAAGAAGTAAGATAGGGCCGGATAGTGTTCTTGGCCTAGTGTTAATATGAGACTCTTACAAGAATGACATTCAACTCTGATGATGTCCATCATATGATGGACGAAATCGCAGCACGTTTTTACACGGTACGAGGGAGGACGTCATGTGAGCTGCGTCAAAACGAATATCGTATAAAAGCCAAAGAGCTGCAGTATAACGAAATTCATCCGTCCTCATCTAGTAAGATCGACCACTGAACCTCATCTTTATTCACTTTCATGTGAACTGAAAGTCCCCCTAATACTATTATTTCAAGAGATTTATCGAAACCTAGTTTTTCTTTATATCTACAAAGATTTGTATGTCCTCTGATTTACTTGCAATTAAAGTAGTATTATTCAACTACATATTTAAATTTTTTGACGACGAAGCATTATGTTCTAGGAGAGAACAACCTTATCATTTAATTTTATCCGCAGAAATCCTGTCAGGTATTCAAAGATTTATGAGTTATGCCCACCCTATTTCGTTTAAAGTGATGAAAAAACTGTAGTTTAATTTTCCCACAGTGGTATGAGAAGAGCTGAATTTCACAAATCCTTGCTTCCCCAAAAGTTGTTCGCATCCGGGGTCGACTCCAGTTTCTACCTCGCCTAGGTCTTATCAACACTCCTCTGTGGGAGTTGAACCATGTTAGTGCAGCGTGTAATATCGACACGTTTTCATCTACGCCAAATTAACACGAGCGATCTTGGATCACAGGGTAAAAGTGAATTTAAAGGAAGGCTAGAGATTTTTTCATATCACATTCTATGGTGGGATTTTTCAATATCGCAAACTTATATTTCCAATATCAATTGAAGGAGTTATTTATATATCGTTTTGATTAGGTTATCGAGGCTACCAGTAAATCAGACCTATGAGTAGTCTATCAAATCTTCTTTAAACGAAAATTAAAGGTATAAGCTGAATGATCTTTAGTTTGACCGTCTTAATGTGAGTTATCACTCTCTTTGGCTCACATCATAAAATATTGTGTCTCAATTTAATAATGTCATGAATTAAACAAAGCCTGTGTAATGTGGATTATCATTGGCATAAGCATTAGCATTGGGGAAGATTTTTAATCTTCCTTGCAGATATAACTCGGTTTTTTATCGTATAATACTTGATTTGCATCATTTTCTTGGTCAGCATTTTTACTCAATACATGCCTAGTTCAGCACTGGTAGGGTCTAAAAGTGCTCTTTAGCAAGATGCAGCCACCCACGATTTGTTCCACAAGTACCCTAAACTATTCCAAATTTAAAAGTGATGTCCTACTCATATACATGTATAATCTTTAATTATATTATTTTTTGGCTTCCATTAAGGGACATTTTTTTCTTTGAATGATATTTCCTTCATCATAAACAGGCCGTGTTTAAGTATAAAAATAAAGAATACTAATTAGGATAAGAGGATGAGAGTGGTGCAAGTGGCTGAATCAATGTTGGCTATTCATAAAGAGGAAAGTATTTTTTACTCATAATATGTTTCGACGCTACCAGTAGATCTTGAATAAGTGCTGCATTCTTAAGCCGATAGAGAAGTAAACGTTGAAGTTTCCCACAATTGTATAAGTTGCGCTAACTATGTCATTGCATTTTACTTTGCATTAGCACCTAAAAGATTTTTTATATAAAGTGGGCTTCAGTCTCCTGATCGCCTGGTTGTCATCAGCATCGATATAGAATGTTTGTGTTTGCTATTAAATTAAACTATACTACATATATTTGGATTAAATAGATTTTGGCACTACCGGCAGATCTTAAATAATAACTGAAATACTGAAAGCTTCCCAAGTTTACTTTAAAAGTTTGCTTAATCAATAATATAACTACAGACGGGGATATACGTCGTGCTACGCAAAACATCTTCTTAGGCTTTAAGCCCTGGTACATCAAAGGCGACGAACATTGGCCTGACTTCGAATTTTCCATCTTATTAAACAATCCTTTTCTATTTTCATTGCCGGAAAGTGCAAAACTTAAATTTAGGAAAACATTGAAACTCTAGCAATACCATTGAGTAAGAACTAGGTAATGTCGAAAATGCAGTCCACTATAGTCGATAAAACCTTTTGGAAGTAAATTTAAGGGGGGATGGAATAAACTTCACTCTCATTCCTTAAATTACCTCAATCGTTTATGGGCGACTAAGTTTGTATTCCAAAAGTATTTATGGTTTCGAAACATACTCTTTTTACTCTATATCTTGTAAATACCGGTTCCTGATTACTGATAAAATTATTATTCTTCCCATGCTACACATAAAGAGAAAAAACATAAATCAAGCATCATACCCCTTTTTGTTATGTATTCCTCTTGCATCATAAAAATTTCTTGAAAATCATAATTTCCGTTCGTAACATTTATTCCTTAAACTTTTTTCCTTCTTTATATCAACGCCTTTAATAGTAAACTAGATTTTGCTCTTCTTTACATTTATACCCATAATAACTACGACATTTTTTAAAGTGATATTCATATCTCTTCATTTTGAAATACATTGCTCCAAGAGTAAAATTTTCTTTATTGTTTTTAAGTAGAGTTTCGAGACTACCAACAAATCAGATATATGATATATGTTCATCCGATTTGGTTTAAGGTTATACCCTACTGGTAATTGAATTTTTCTCACAATTATATGAGTAGACCTTACATTTCCAGTGAATTTCACATAGCCTTACATCCCAAAAGGTATTCTCGTCTGGGT